CGCCCCAGAAACGCTGTTGGATGGCTCCGTAACGTTGCACGCATGCTGCGCTGTGCAGCCCCTCACTCGGGTACGTAGAAAGTCGATGCTCCAAATATTTGCCTCTGGGAGACTATTGACACGGGGAATGCTCTCCGCATCTTCCCCACCATAAGTGGTATAAACACTGTGTGTGGCCATCGAACTGCGCTTATACTCACACACTCCCTGTACCAACAGGAGTGGCATATCGGAATTGTTTATCTTGCATTTTGCTGATTGTAGTAAAAAAATTGTGTCGAGCATATTGGGGAAAAAATTCAGTTCTAATATTCGTTACCTCCCAAATGTTCATTCTGCGCGAATAGTCGAGTTACTCTTTTCAGCCCTATCCTAAAGCATGTCTCATGAACGGCTTTACCTTCCCATTGGCGCATGATTCTCCCACAATTGCGTATTTCGACCAAATTTTTGATTACAAAATTTCCCATGAGGGCCATTGTGCGTAAAATGGCTTAATAAGGCTTTTGAGAAGAATATCATAGCTTGATTTTGATTGTGAAGGACTGCACTAAAACTGATATTCTTGCTCATGATATTCAACTCCCAAGAAACAATGGAGTAAGAAACAAATCTAAAACATGCATTTGCAATCAAACCAGTCGTCGCACTCCACGAGACACAGGTATATTCAGCGCAAAGAAAGTATGAGACCATGGACCTACATGTTTAGCCTTCTCCGGCTTAGTGAGGACACGCGCAGCGAAATCTTTTCTCTACCGTGCCGGTGCCGGCTAGCTCTTCTTCTTTCGGCCGTACTGCGGCTGTGAGCATCCCTTCTTGCAATTCTTCTGCTTGACATCATAGCAATACAGGCACACAACAACAGACCTGTCATCTCGTTCACAGTCCATGGGTTTGGATCCCAGATTAAGTCGAGCTTGTTGTGCTGCCGTTCGTTCTTGTGCAGAACTTGTTGACCCGGCTTGAGGGTGATGGTCGAAGCCGGTTGCGCACTGCGATGGTGGTTCGCCGCCTCGCATTGGCGACCGCGGAACGCATGCTCCTTGTTCGCCGTGACGGTCGCATCTGGTGCTGGGGACGTGCACAGGCTGGGGAGAGTGTCCCGGATGCTGCGGCCGAACATGATGGTAGCTGGCGGTAGGCCTGTGGCGGGGTGGGCAGTGGCGCCGTATGCGTGTAGCCACTCATCAAGTGCAGCACGCAAATCTCGGCCATCCAGTTGGGCAGCACGGAGGACCTTGCCGATCGTGCAGTTCATCTTCTCGACTGCACCATTGGCTTGGGGCCAGAGAGGAGGCGTGCAACGGTGAGCAATGCCCATCTGGGCCAGGAAACGGTTGAACTCCGCCGAGCGGAACCGGGGTCGTTGTCAGAGACCACTTCTTCTGGCAGGCCGAATGCTGCGAACGCACTGCGGAGCACTGCAAGGACGCCAGCTGTAGCGGGAGTGGAGTTGAACACGTGAGTGACTGGGTAGCGACTCAGTTGGTCCACAGCAACCAAGAGTGTGCTTCCGCCTGGCAAGGCGCCATACAGGTCGACAAAAACCCGTTGCCATGGCGCCGTCGATGGTGGGGTCAGTGTGGATTCCGGCCTGTATGGGCCTGTTGGCGTGTTTGCCTGACAGGAGAGGCATTGGCAGCAGAGGGATTGACGTCATGCCAGGCCACCAGACTTTCGTGTACGGTCGTTGCTTGGTCCGTGTCATGCCTTGGTGGCCGGAGTGGGCCAGCTGAAGTGTCCGCTCTCGGAGAGACAGTGGAATCACCAGACGATGGTCTTTGAGCAGGAGACCGTCAGCGGCGGAGAGTTCATGCCTTTGCGTGTAGCAAGGGCGGATGTCAACTGTCTTGTCGTCCCACATGCCCGTCTGCAGTGACAGCAGCACAGCCTGGAGCGTTGAGTCTGCTCGAGTTGCGCCTTGGATGTCGGACAAGAGGAGGGTGTTGGGAACAGAGGACTGCGCGATGGCATTGATATAGCCAGTGTCCTCCTCCTCACCAACATTCGGCAGGGGAGGATGTGGCTGAGGGTGACGACTCAAGACGTCTGCTGGGTTGGTAGGGCCAGGTTCATACACCAGCTTGAAGTGGAGGTCTTGGACCTTGAGAGCCATCCATTCAATGCGGGGTGGAGGTCGTGAAGACGGGTGAAGGAGCTGTAGAAGGGGCTTGTGGTCAGTGTGGACCGTGAAGCTGGGGTCGCCGCTGAGGAAATGGGAGAAGCGCAAGCAGCCCTACTTCACACCGAGGGCTTCGCGTTCCGTTTGCGAATAACGCTGCTCAGTGGGGGTCAGGCTGCAGCTTGAAAATGCGACTGGTTTTAGCTCGGAGTGATCCTGGACGACTGCTTCAGAAGACTGGCAGAGGATGGCGCCAGGGCCTACGGGTGAGGCATCGACGCAAAGGTGAGTGTGTTTGGTACCGTCGAAGTAGGCGAGGGCCTGATCAGCTGGTATGTCGGCTTTGATGGCATTGAATGCTGCATGAGCCTCGGGTGACCAATCCCACTGCTGACCCTTGCCAAGGAATTTCCGCAGGGGTGCCGTCTTGGTGGCCATGTCGGGGATGTAATGGCGCATGAATGTCGCCAAACCCAGGAAACTCTTGATATCGGAAGCTGACTTGGGTGTGGCGAAAACAGCAATGCTCTCTTTGTGGTGTGGTGCAGCCTGAGTGTCCCGGCGACTGTAGATAGTCGACATGAAGGCCAGGCGGGTTTGGCGAAACTGGCACTTCGCCTGGTTGAGGGTAACATTGTGGGCACGTACGCGCTGCAGGCAGGCGTACAGGCGCTCATCGTGGACTTGGGTCGTCTCGCCGTAGATGAATATATTGTCGTGCACGCTGCGAACACCTGGGAGACCCGCGAGGACACGGTCCATGGTCTGCCGGAGGATCTTAGACGCTGAAGCCAACCCCATGGTGAGTCGCTTGCACCGCATTAGGCCGAGGGGCGTGTGGAACACGGTGAAAAGACGGGACGGCTCGGCTAGTGAGATCTGGTGGAAGGCCTTGTTCATATCCAACTCGGTGAACACGGTGGCCCCTGGCATGTCGAAAGTAATCTCCTCGATGGCATGGCGTTCCCGTGCCGCAACGAAAAATCACGAAAATCCTGCGTAAAGCGCACTTTGCCCCTGCGCATCGGCACGACCACCATTCGGGCAACCCATGGGGTGGGGCCAGTGGCAGGTTCGATGACGTCCAATGTGAGCTGCTCATGGATCTCAGCGAGCGCGTCCTGGAGGTGGACAGCCACTCTGGAGTGGGCGTGAGCGACAGGGCGGGCGTTGCCATCTACATAGATATGGGCTTCTACGTCGTTGATGCAGCCGAGGCCCTGGAAGCGGTCGTGGTACTCAGCAAGGTCGTCTGGCAGTTGCGGACTTTCGACGCTGTGGATCAGCTGGATGAGGCCAAAATGCATAGCCGTCTCGCGGCCAAGGATAGCAGCGGTAAGTGGCGCGTGTGCGACAACGAGGAATGTTGCCGTCGAACTCATGGTAGCGGAGGAAACACAGAGGGTGATGCTACACAGAAGAGGAAGAAGTGAAGTTGAGCCGTAAGCAAAGATTTGCACATCCGTTTGCTGTAGTGCTGCACCAGGGGCAACCTTTGCCAGGTCATCAGTATTGATGATATTGTGACTGGCACCACTATCCACCAAGACAGTTTGGGTATGCCGTTGACGTACACGGTGCGCCGGGCATCCTCACGGCAGGGTGCCGTAGATGGGCGGGGTGCCGTAGATGGGCGAGGCGGAGAGTCGGTAGAAAACAGCTCTGCGCCAATCTCTAAAGAATGAATAGCATGGTGGCAGCTGTCGACAGCGTGCTGGTCAGAGTGTTGGTGGGGAAGGCGTTCCCTGAACGTGCGGGCCTGGATGGCGGAGTCCGAGGCGCAGCATGCGAAATGGTTTCGCTTGCCACAGCGGCTACAGAACTGGCCCTTGGCATGGTCACATGTGGCATGGCCTGGCTTTCCACACCTGTAGCAGGTCAGACCGGATAAGGTAGACTGTGGACACTGGTTTTGGGGCTGGCGTGCAGTTGCGTAGGCGTGGCACTATGACCCTGAGAGGGCATCCACATGGGCAGGCTGGGGTGCTGCTGATGCCAGGGAAGCGATATGGGCGTCCTGCTGTGAAGCCACTGAAGAGCCCGGAGAGGCGTCCTTGATGACGAGTACATGGGTGATGCTGGCCTCATACGCGCGGGCTGCTTTCAGAGCTTTGTGGGAGTCGAGGCCATCGATTTCCGGCAGTTTTTGCCGAAGGGCGTCGGACTTGCAGCCGATGATCAGCTAGTCCAAGACAGCCAATTTCTCGGCGGCCGAATCCGGGAAGCCGCTGCGTTTCACGTGGTCGCCCAAACGACAACAGAAACCCTCCATAGTCTCGTTCGGCTGTTGATGAAGCTGACGGAAATTGTACCTGAAGAGCGTTTTGTTTTGGTGTTTATCGAACTCGTCCTGCAACGCTTTGGCGAGGTCGTCGAATGTTGCCCCTGTGTTGCTGAGAGTGGGCACGAGTTGCTGGATGTCGTCTCCTCCCAGGTACTGGAGTAGCTCACGCTGTTGGTCGTCATCGCAAATTTTGGACGCAGCAAGATAAAGTTTGAAACTCCATGTCCAGGCGGGCCAGCGCATGGCGGCATCGTAGAGGGAGACATAAATTGGAAAGGGTCCAGGGGGCGGAATGGCGGGTGGTCGGTCACCCATGCTTGCCGCGGAGGAACGAAATAGCTCGCAGCGCCAATGTAGTATTGTTTCTTCTTCAGTCCAAAACAACAAGAGTCCAGAGTCTAACCATGCACAGCAACTAAAAGCCGCGGAGTACGTTTCACGCGCGCGCGGGAAATGGCACATGCTAAATGCATAACAAATCACGATGTACTACTACTACTACATGCATCATGAATGTCTGGAGTGGCCAAGGAATGCCACAGCGCGTAGGTGGACGTGAACACCACAGGTGCCTTCATTGGCTTCAAAGCTTTAATGACCGCCGACCATGTTCCTCCATCGGGTGATAATGGCCGCGTTTTTGATGGCACTTAGCACACATGTCATAATCCTAGCATAAGGAGGCACAAACACGTACAAAACACAAACACATGCAAAACAACAATCGGATACAGAATGGAGGCAGATCTGGACACTACTGGTGAGTAAAGAACCTGCAATCTGCAGGTGTTGCATGTTGTACAGAAGAAGCTACAGTCATGTGGATTAAAAATTCTGTCGTGTACCTCTATGTACAGTCTACTCTAGAAGAACTAAGAGAAGTTGAGACAACAAATACAAACAAAATCTGGAAACACACAGTGGCCAATATGAATATGCAAACTTACGTCACACACTGGGCAATGGAAACGACTTCCAATAATTTCCGCTATGCAGGTATTGCAGCGGTAGACGATTACATTGCACTGGCTTTGCAGCTCGATGAGCATGCACAGTGTAGCGTACTGCGCGTGCCGCAAAGTTGTAAACTCGAGATGATTCTTACGAAAGTACGCAAGAATTGAATCCCGACTCTCCATCACATTGACGCTTTGCTGCTCGGCCACATCCTCCTGCATGGGTTTAAGGTTGGCAACCTTTTCTGAAGAAATCAGCGTGATGGTGAAGAATGCCTGGCCAAAAGAAACAAGAATAAAGGTAATGTAAGGAAATTTTGCCAGCAACGAATACAAGAAATCAGCGTAGGCGATAATACCAGCAACACCCAAGGAGCTAGTAAGGCCGTCATCACACTTCATTTTCTGGCTTCCCCTTACGTCTGCGTCCACAGTGAAAAATGCAAAACGGGTAGTCGTGTCATCAAACAGGCACAGTTCTTGACCAGTACACGCGGTCATGTTTTGGAGAAATTTGAAGATTCGCACGTACAAGGTCGCTTGGAAACAGACTGTGGGAGATACACCCTTTTATACAAAAAAGTGGCCCACTCCCTACCACGTCTACGTTTCCCGTTTCTTCTGCTCCCGCTTTCACTCCAGACATGGATCATCATGACAACCGACCAAAACCTTATGTGGATGTAGACACAGCGCTTTGAACGGTAGTGTGATGACAGCGTAACAGCTGGGGCATAAACTAAGATACTAGTAGAAGGTTTTACAAGAAATGGTTTCACTGAAAGAGTAACACCCAAAGGCAATAATTTTACAAACTAGTACCATTATGAACTTAGAAGTTGCGACTTCGGCGGTACTAGTGATGAAATTGGTTGCTCCAACGAGGAGCACAAACTTCTTGCCGAGCTTGACACACTGTGTATTGAGCAGGCAGTGGTGCTTTCTTTCAGGTTTGCCGAGCGGAAGGTGCTACGTGCTTCTCGTGTGCTCCGGATGGCAATCGTGAGTCGCTCAAGTGTCTAGGTCGGCAAGAAGCGTGTGCTCCTCGTTGGAGCAACCAACTTTAGTACCATTATGACACACCAATATACTCTACAAAAAATAAGTCACTTTCAAACATCGAATGTTACGTGCGGAAACTCATTTTAATATTCAGATACAAGGGCATACGTTTTCGATAGCCACCTCGCATAATCAAAGGACGACAGAAAACGTGTCGTAATTTGCAATCACCTGTGTCCCACAGATGAAGCTCTATGTGCGGATGGGCTTACAGTGTGTACGTCGCAAACTTGCCTCACTTATTCCAGGCTTGCCCTGTAAGTAGAGAGAGTATTGCTACAACCTAAACTGTAGGACTGAAACGAACGCAATTTCTCAGCAATCGAACATTCTTGACTCTAACGAACGAACGAACGAACGAACAAATGTTCTTGATTGATAATTCATGCAAATCGTCAGAGTTCTGACAAGGGCATGAATACCCCGCCACATGATACAGGCAAAAAATATACTTCAGGGAGGAAACCAACGCCGTTGACATAAAAACCTTCAGCGACCTTGCTTCGCTCTCCGTTGAGAGCAACATCGCCCCAGAAACGCTGTCAGATGGCTCCGTAAGGTTGCACGCTGATTGTAATAAAACATTTGTGTCGAGCATATTGGGAAAAAAATTTCAGTTCTAACATTCGTTACCTCACAAATGTTCATTCTGCAAAGCTAAATTAACGAATATTTGAATAGTCGAGATACTCATTTCAGCCCTATCCTTAAGCATGTCTCATGCACGGCTTTCCTTTCCCAACGGTGCATGATTTTCCCACAATTGCGTATTTTGACCAAATTATTGATTATAATTTCCCATGTGGGCCATTTGTGGGTAAAATGGCTAAATAAGGCTTTTGAGAAGAATATCATAACTTGTCAGCTTGATTTTGATTGTGAAGGGCTGCACTAAAACTGATTTCTTGCTCATGATATTCAACTCCGAAGAAATAATCAAGTTGGAAACAAATCTAAAACATGCATTTGAAATCAAACCAGTCGTCGCACTCCACGAGACACAGGTATACGCAATGCAAAGAAAGAATGAAACCATGGACCTACACTTTTATCCTTCTCCAGCCGGGTCAGGACACGCGCAGCGAAATCTTTTCTCTTCCGTGCCGGTGCCGGCTTGCTCTTCTTCTTTCGGCCGTACTTGCCATTCTTCTGCTTGACATCATAGCAATACAGGCACACAACAACAGATCACGGTCATCATACCCCTCACACACCTGGCCAATAAACAAATCCATCCACATGGATCACTGCATTCTCAATCAAATATTGTCTAGTTTTCCTTTCTTTTCCTTTTCACTTATCGCGTTATCAGCCCACTTAATAGTTGTGTATATCACTGTTGAGGCATCCGATGGTAAGAAAAATAAATACTACTACTAGTCGTTGACAAGTGACGCTCTACGGCTTCAGGAAGGCATTGGCTTATGAAATAAAGCTCTCACTACTTGGCGGGGGATTGGCATACGCCAAGCTTTAAGCTAGTGTATGGTTTGTCTTCTTCCCACACTGAGAACACCTAAGGTATCTTCCCAGTTCCAGAGCAGCGTAGCGCCCCTTGCTATGTTATTGACAAGGTAATATTTCAATGGCCAATATTTTAGAATCACTACTGTATCCTTAATGGAAGTATTGATCCTCAGGCAACCTCCTCCTAATCTAGTCCTAACCTTTAAGATTTGATCAAGATGAAAGAACGTTGAGTAATAATACAAAGAAGTTGCAGTGCAGAGCAGTGCAATTTGAGGAATGGCTGTCATCACATTGTTGTTTTGCATAACATAAGAAACGGATTTTTTAGTAACAAATTCGGCGATAATTATATGAAAGTTCGTTGCTCTCAATGTTCGAGCTTGCACCTTTCCCACTTTTCTGTAATAACATGAGTCCGCTGAACGGAAAAGTGGGAAAGGTGCAAGTTCGAACATTGAGAGCAACGAACTTTCTTATAACTATCGTCGAATTTGTCACCTTCATCCCATGCACTCCATCATCTCAGCGGCATTGAAAAAAGACAAATTGCCAACAACCATAAGACGAACAGCGGCTGGTAAAATGTTTGATATGGAGTTGAATTCGAGAGAGAGATGTGAACCATCAGTCCTGCTCTACACAGAAGATAATGCATACCTCGGCCTCAGCTGCGATCTTCTCCGCTTTTTCCTCCTGGGCGATCTTCTCAAACACTTTAGGCCAGTAATCACCCTCAAAGTATGGCATACCGGTCGGTACGCTGACTTGATCTTGAAGTGTGGACTGGTGAATATCCTGAAAGATCAAAAAAGTGAGAAAGGATAAACAACATTAGATTGCCAGTATAACAATAGGGATCAAACGGCTACGGTTTTCACCTTAATGGTTAACTGCTACGCTAACAGTCGATTTATCGGAGTACAACCTATAAGCTAGAGCAGTACGGCGTGTAGCTAGTTTGAACAGTATAGTACAATATCCTTGTTTGAAATGTACCGTGCGGAATTACTACTAATACATGCAAATGTCTGCATGCTCATTCACATAGATTCACAGACCAGAAGCATTAAAAGTGTCATGAAGTTGATTCAAATTGTAACGGATGGTACTATGTAGTGTGCATTTATGCATGTGTGCGTACACCATAGGTTGGAAAACTGCCAAATTTGGTAAAAATGCGTACTTCGAAAACTGGAAAAGTACCAGCGTAACCGTTACACAAACTGTTAACTGATATCTTTTCAAAACCGGTTCTAAACGGGTTAATCGAACTAAAGTATATCCTCACAAAGAACATGCACAACTGTCATAAATTCAATACGTATATCACTGACGCTACACTGGCATCTTCTGTATGTAGTCCCATGTTGTTTGATACCCTTTGGATGAGGTATCGGTGGCACATAGCTAATCTTGCTACTCTGGAAATCAACAAATTTTGGACGGTGAGAAACTTTGGCCGATTTAGAAAAGATCGTTTAATAGTTGTTGCCCTCACGGGCAGCCATGGGTGGATTATGCATCATTTGCCTCGATGACAAACTTTGGCCTGCGGTTAACTTTGGCCAATTGGCACCAAGCGGCGGAATCAGCGAAATAAAATCGCCAGCGAAAATGAGTTGATTTAGAGCACTTACGCGAAACTCGATAACAGCTTTTCGAGCAACTGCACTCTCCAGCATTGTCTTGTACCACTCTATTAGACGCTCTTGTGTGAGTATCCTTTGCCCAGGTGGATGACAGTTGAAAATATAGTCCTGGTTTTTATCAGGAGGGTATGCCCAAAGGTTAACAGCGACAAAGCCTCGCTTTGCGACATAGTCCTGATAAGCGATAAGCAGCTCATGATACACTTGAGTACGCAACTGCTTTGGCCGGAAGAAATGGACACTGTCCAGATACGAAAGGTATACATGCCTACAAAAAAATACGCAGAGAACAGAGAGCAAGTCTTGAAGAGATTTCACTCAGCAGTCAACGGTGTTACATGTAGTACATGCACTTGTACAGCAAACTAAACAAAGTCAAAGACGAGAGAGAGAGAGAGAGAGAGAGAGAGAGAGAGAGAGAGAGAAAGAGAAAGAGAAGGAGAAAGAGAGAGAGAAAGAGAGCAGGAGCACAAGATGGATATAGATCTTACCGCCTATTAGGCTCGGGACAGTCAGAATCAAACTCATGCACGATCATGCCAAAGAAGCACACGTCCTGGCCATCAATTTCCACAAAAGCAAAGACAGACTTTGCTACATAAGGAAACTCCTCCGGGAAAGATGTAGCACTTAGCTCCTCAAACCTGGCATTAATGGAAGAAACATACACATGCACGCACATGTACACAGAAACACACACACAGAGTTGAGTATAATGAAAAACGCTGGTTTGTATGACAGATGTATGATGATTTGTGAAAACTCTCCGCACTAACAGAGGTCCATGTGAATAAGCAATACTAGTACACAGCGATAGACAGGTACCCAGTATATTCCTACTAGCCACAAGGAAAACACCGGAAAACATACCAGAGATTCCTGCCCGTTTTCTTGAAGTACCCTTAGATCTTTTTTTCTTGCTTGAGAATACAGTAGGTATACTATGGTTGGCACATTCTTTGGTGCACTATTTGCTGTTCAAACCTTATGGCGGCACAGAACCTTAATAGGTAGAATGTCATATTTAGCAAATTGAATAAACAAAAGTCACACACTAGATTGATTCGGAGAGGGCTCTTACGACAATATATGCCTAAATATGCGTGGAAAAAATTGAAAAAACAACAACAACAGCACCAGCACCACCACTGCCACCAACAAAAGACATTACTTACTTTTCTTTGGTTGCATCCTTGACCTTCACTGTCTGCTTGCTGCTGGAGAGCACACGGATGTGAACGTGGCCGGCTTCACGGTTCGTATCAGCAGTTTTAAGGTAAGCGTTGATTCTCTCCTCAAGGTATGTAGCCAGAGCATTGCGCGGCAGTGCTACAAACAACAAGAGAAAAAGTCATGAACAAATATTTAGGTTTTCTCCAGGTGAACAATAAGACCAGTATCAATGCCCAGATTTCGCCAATGCCAGATAACCCAATAACCAACCCAGTCGTCCCCCCTCTCCGCTCTCTCTCTCTCTCTCTCTCTCGCTCTCTCTCCCTCACCCTCTCTCTCACCCACTCTAACTCTCTCTCTCTCTCTCTCTCTCTCTCACTCACTCACTCACTCACTCCCACTCACTCACTCACTCACTCTCAGTCACTCAGATTTTGAGGCTGAAGACTCTTCAGGTGCAAGGCAAGTGGTTGGAGTGGACATCGGTGATGTGGCAGGACCTCTCGTGGAAATCCCTTTTGTACGGTGGTACTGGTAAGGATTTGAAATTTCTTCTTGCGTCAACCCTCGACGTTCAACCTTCTTCGACGAACCTATGCCGTTTGTGCAACACAGTAGTGGATGCGTACTGTAGTTTGTGCCGTGCCTGGGCCTGTACTTTGCGTCACGTGCTTGGCGCTTGTCGCGTAGCGCTAGACCAGGGACGTTACACCTGAAGGCACGACAACGTACTCGGGGTCATCGTCAGCAACATGCGTGAGGAGATTCGAATCCGCGCCTGCTGCAAACACAGGACAAACCGAAAATTCTAATGGGCTTGACTTCATCTCGTTTTCCAAGGCGGTAGAGAAGCCAGTTCGAGCTCAGCCTAGACAAAAGTTGATTACGACTGATCTCCTGTCAGTGGCCTCACACTGGAAACTTCTTGTCTACTCAGTCTGTGTCGACTACATTTTAAACTGTCACCCAACCGAGCAATAGATACTTGAGCCGAAGCGTCTTGGAGCGCGGAACAATACCGTGTTGGATGGCAAAGGAATTGTTTGGAAAGCTGTTGTCAAGTATGAGGTAAGTAGTAGTTTTGTGCACCTGCGCATGAAAGGCCTCCAATTCAAAACGCCATATACAGACCAAACTGGAGTTTTTGCGTTTTTCGTCGCGAAAGAATTCGTTTGCACCCACCAGACGTCTGTGGGTCGGTTTTATGGGTCAAATCGCGATACATCCCAATCACAATGATGCCTAAAGTTTGTGTTCTTCCGCATAACGGGATAAAAGTCTCTGATGCTGCAGTGCAGGCCGAAAATGAAGAAAATGAAAAATGCGCTTCCTGAAATTTCCACAAAATGGATTTATCTCGTTTTCAATTAGAGCCCTTCGCATGTTCTTCAGGCGTCAGTGGCCCAGCCTCCCTGCCCATCCGACTCGCCACACCCAACAACGCAACTGAACTAGAGATTCTACATAAAAAGGAGGAGGAAAAAGAGAAGAAGATTGCTGCTGAGGCCGAGGTATGTATTTCCCTAGCTGTGTTGCACTTACAACCGTAAGACCAGATATAGTTCTGTACTGTACGAGTCGTAGAATTGTATTCTGGATGGAGTTGACAACCCGGGTGGCAGGTCATTTATTTTTCGGTTGAGGTAGGTGTGCGTGGTTTCATCACAGACTCTCTTCGGAGGACTCTGAAAGTGCTTGGGTTTTCTAATGGCACAATAAAGTATGGACTCGGATGGAGAGCCAAGGGTAAATTTATAGTATAGAAAAAAGGATCAAGAAACTAAAAGTTACGCTATAATGTCCACTAACACCACAAGTTAAGAGTGGAGAGCGCTTGCTTGAGAGTTGAACCCGGGTTCTAAATCCACCATTCCCACCCGGTTCGCAAGGCTGGGCGGAGTTGTGAGCAGGCTTTCACTTCACCTTTTTTATTTTATTTCTGCTTTTCATCTCATTGAAAAATGTCTGCACATATTTCACTCACAAAGCAACTGTTCAGTACATGGGGTAGTGGTCTACCAGAGCAATCACACTCACCACCGTAGTGGTTTTCCAGAAATGAGTAGAAGCAAAAAGAACCACACTCGAAGCCACCTTATTCCTTTACCTGCAACACTTTTCTTCAACTTGTGTCCAGTCTCCCCTTTCCAAGGCAACTTCAAGGGTGGGTTTCTGCAATGTGCCTCTTCGCAACTGGTAGTAAGAAATTTTGCACCTGACTGGCAGTACCCCCAGGTTCTTCAAAAAGACAGGAGCAGCAAGTGCCTTCTTACACAGTAATACCGCAATTACGTTATCATTGCCATCAGCAATCGGCGTGGTCAAGGTTCAAGATGCTCGCGCCTTTCTGTTACCTGCCTAAAACCCAGTGGTAATATTGTTACCCTGGCGCTAACTTGATCACTGGGGAAACCCGGTCAATTCCGGACCGCTCTTTTATCCCACCTGAAAATTTACTGACTAACGTTGCTCACTGATCAAATTATTCCTTTATTCTTTTTTTATTACTGATCAAATAGTTATATAACCTTTCCTCTGCTGTTGTTAACCTACTCTATTTTCTTTTTTTCTTTTAATCTTTTCCTTTTTCCTTATATTTGTGTGCCAGTAGCCGATCTCATGTAATAAGGCAACACTGCCTGTTTGTTCTTCGAGAAATAAACCAATCCAATCTAATCCAGCTTATGGCGTATGGTTTGCAAAGGAATTTGTCGGCTTCTGATCAAATAACCCTATTCTAACCCGAACTCTAATCCTGACCATAGTTACCTTCAGCAGTGAACTTGTTGACAGGCTCAGTCTTGTTGTTCTTTGTCAGGCACTCCTTGCACTCATAGCTGAAATGCAAACAGGTAAGCACAGAGAGGTGTGCAGTCAGATTTGTTAATACCCACCCACACTCACACATTGTGTACAATTATGATAAGGACAGAGCACACAACAATGGCACTCAATTCACACATCCCAAACCAACGCATCCACTTACCCTCTTTTCCAGATGGAGGGATGGAATCCAACACAAACTTTGTGCATACGCCGTGCACAAATCGAACAAACCACAAAGGGTTCAGGGTCTTTGACGTTATTTTTCATCTCCTGAAACTTCGCTTTCAAAACGTCCCTGAAAATAGAAGCGAGAAAACAAACATGGAAGGAAAACATTAGTATCAAAAATATACTATATGTATATCCTGAACTAGTGTGGATTAAGTTAGGGTATGCACTACGTTAGCAGAGAGTTAGGAACAGTAAGACAAATACGTACCCTTCAGATCCCACATTGACTGACTTGTTGACTTCACTGAAGCACTTCTTGCAATAGTGCACCATCGCCTCCTTGCCCTTGTACACATAGCAGACCGCATCTCGAGGAATAATGCAGGAGTTGCACGCACAATACAGCACTTGAGGTGTGTAGAACCTCTGTAGATCAACAGGAACAAGGACAGAATGACAAAAAAGGCAAAGTTATAGCATAACAAAGCACGCATACCAGCATAGTTCGAACCTGATAGCATAATTATCTCGAGTATAGAATGTGATAGCACATCCACGCTTCAGTGAAATAGTACTTACCGACTGGCCACAACAAAATCCAATATTCTGCATGGGCTCATCGATGATCTTTTTGAAAAACTCATGTAGCTGCATCGGAACAACAAAGTCAGAAACAAGGGGATTCTGGGTTAACCAATGCACACTGAGCTATTTTTGACCAAACAGCAAAATATTGGGTACGAACTATGATGATTATTGGTGAGAAACCTCACTATTAAACTAGCTGGGTTTGGGGTATCTCCGGCATCATAAGTACAATTGCGTTCAATGAAATCCAACGTGAAATGGAAAACTTGCGCCAAGGATCAGTTCTGATTGTATTACTGGGCTAGTACATGTATACAATCATGCTAGAACATGTATACAATCATGCTATCATATGTGTAGAATCATGCTAGTACATATGTACAATCATGCTAGAACATGACTTTGGTTACATGTCAATCCGCATCCGTATGCCTTCCAGGGCAGCAACTCCCAGACTGAGCATACAACGCCAATGCGCGATCAAGACTGGAACAGAGAGAGCTGGACGTTGAGCGTGCGAAATATGCATTATAGGGCAAATTTCACCAGGCACAACTGTACTTAGTGAATCAGTCTGTATTTGAAGCATAAGGAGATGAACAGCACAAATTCTGGTTCTGGGAAGGACAACAGAACTCACTCGAGTAGCTTGCTTATAAATTGTTGTGGTCTTCTTATTGTACAACCATGCGTTCTCCACAATCTTGTAGGCATCCGCAATGAATTCCCATGGATCGGTGTATTCAAGACTGCAAAGCTTCTGTCTCAAAGTTGACAAATCCATTGGCTCCTTCACGATTTCCAGATAGTCCTGAAGGGTAAAAATGTGACAGCACAAACGTCAAACGTCAACACCTATACATGTACATGCATACACACAGTACATAGCCAATCCAGTACCAGCGGACATCAACAAAGCAGCACACTGCAAGCAGTGAAAAGCTAAATCAGTGACTGTGTCCCGTGACTCATTCACTTACCGGACAGTTCAAAAGAATCGTATCGACAGGTTGTAGAAAAGTTTTGCGATCATCATGATCGCACAATTGATCCACAATTGGAAGAAACGTATCCCGCACAATCTCCGCAGACATTTCGACTGAACAAAGCACAACAGCAAAACAAGAATCATTAGCAAGTATCCAGTAATACACTTATCAGGCCGTTTGGCAATACCACGTTTCGTGACTTGACACGCGATTTGCGACAAGAAAATACCAGTCTAGGCCTGTCGAGTAAAGTCGCAAGGTGCCTGTCGCAGAAGTTGAAGAGAGTTCAGCTTTTGCGACGTGCGTCATACACAAACGGAGTACAGATTCTACTCGGAATGCTCATTCAGTGCACATGCATAGTGCATACACTGCATCAGGATGTCGCACAAACCTTAAAATGATTGTGAATCGTGTGTCGCGGTCGCAGCTCGTTGCAGGTGTCGCAAGTCGCATGTCGCGTAGCAAAAGCTGTATTGTGAATCGGCCTTAAAGGGGAAGTTCACCCTGAAATGAAGACTTCACAACCTGTAGCGAATAATGCACTGAATCCAATGGTAAAGGTACAGGTCCCATGTTGATTCAAGTAGCCGTTTCCGAGATATACTAGCTTTGAAGTTTGTACTAAATTTGGTGACATGATGATGACGTCATTAACTTGCCCTGACTTGGCCGGACTTATGACGTCAGAAAGATAGACTTTGTATGGGAGTGGATGGGGAAAATTCAGTATTTTGGTTCTCCATTGACATTGTCCCAAAGAAGTCGGATCTTTTTCAAACTTCGGTATGGGACATACATGTATAACACACTACTGGTATCCCGACTTGAAAAAATTCTAGTATGAAAATAATTGTTGCAGAGAAACAAGAATGAAATTGGTTTTCCTCATCTACTCCTACACAAAGTCTGTCTCTCCGACGTCATAAATCCGGCCTAGTCCTTCCAAGTCAATGGCGTCATCATGATGTCACCAAATTTAGTGAAAACTTCAAGCAGGTAAAACTCGGGAACGGCTCATTGGATCAACATGGGACCTTCACCATTGGAATCATTGGAATCAGTGAATTTTTCGCTACAAGTTGTAAAGTTTTCATTATAGGGGAACTTCCCCTTTAAGGCCACCATAATGCTCAGCAAGCAGTGATCACTTTTCTGGAGAAGTGTCGTTTGCTGAATGAAGCACGTGGCCACATCATGTGGGTAAAGATAGTGAAGTTCAATAGGAGTACAAGCAACAAACCTGGAGCAACTACAAGTGACGTCCTACTGTAAAGAAACATGCCAAACATTTAGTATGCTTCTACTGCAGGTAGCTTCAATGTTTTTCAAGCAGAATATGACAATTTAAAAATAGATTTTAACTGAGACTTTATTTTCTTAGATCTACTCCCAGCCAGTCCCAGAAAGATGAGTAGACTCCTTAATGAAGCACTGCGCAATAAAAAATAGAGGAACGAATGACCCGGCTACTGTTTCTTCTTTTTCCATTTCTTGAAAGCCTTAGGGGTGTGCAAGCACCTTTTGCAATCCCCCTTCCCCTGATGTCTACAGCTTAGCTCGCATATTCCTCATTCTGTTTGCTTTACATGCAATTGTGCAATCCTTGCTAATCTAAACAAGATTTCTTTAGCACTTCTTTCCAGATCCATGTTTTGCGTCTTTTACTGTACATTTCAACAGCATAAGGTCCCTGGTTGGAGTCCTGGTAGTGACAGTCAATTTCCTCGTCAGATTTTGCGGTTTGAATCTTTCCCTCAAACCAGTGAGCATGTGATGAGCTTACATTTCTTGTCTTGAACTCCCTCAGCTTCTGGAGTGGTAGATGGAATGATAGCCGCCTGAACACTCCCAGTATCTATGTCTTCAGCACTGGATTGAAGTGTGCTGTCCGAAGCTGCAGCGACAGCTGCTGGCGACTGGCTGACTGCAGATAACATATTGGTCATGGAAAACGGAGAGCTAGCCGAGGACGCTGCAGCCTGATTAAGAGTAGCAACAGACTGAGATGAATCTGTGGCCGTTGTTGACACATTAGATGTGGCCTACAAGAGGAAAAGAGCAGGATAGGGCACACATATATTAGTCCTGTTCCAAAGGTAAAGTTGGTTCAGCACAAGTGTTTTAGAGCAAATTTTCTGCATGGTCAAGAGAGTTTATGACCAAAGCAACTTTCATCCATTTCTTATAAAGGGTCAGGTGCACCCACTACAACCGCTTTTATCTGTACAATGTGGAACACACAGACTTTCCTGCCGAACTAGGGAACCCACAATTTAGGAATAAGTCCCGGGGAGGTAACGAATCAAAAAATATATATTTGGTGGCCTGGTGTGAGAGGGCATGGGTTTTAACTTCTGAGCACACAAGTAAATGTACAAGGCGTTCGACACTGTTACGAATGCCCTGCAGGAAGCAGCACGAAGATCAGTTGGAACAACATATCAAGCAAGAAAAGAACAAATTCTGTTTTGAAAATCGGAAACTGTCTAT